GGGAAAGAGACAGAAAGATCGCATTGAATTAAAAAAGATGAGTAAAATAACAAAGAGCGAAGAGAGAATGAAACAGGGGAGGTGGTGTGTGTGCAACCACAATCACACTGCTAAGAAGCATCTTTAACCACCAACGGGAACTAAACTCCTGGTCTCTGCTGTGGCGGGTTTGCCCTTGTTTTGGGTGATGTTGTGTCCAGTGTGGTCATACTTACAGCTCTGGGTTTGAATGGTGGCTGCACCTCCTTGTTCTCCAGTTTCTCCCAGTCCATGTAGCGGAAGAAGCTGTGCTCCCTGATGTCTCTCTCCCCCTCCGGCCCACAGCCCAGTCGCTTCGCTGGATGCTTCGTCATCAGCTGGACAAGCAGCGGAGAAAGAATTATTTCCTTTCTTCACTTCATCGCTCAGTCTAACCTTTCTGCTTTTCATTATTGTTTGTATACGTGCAGCTGCTGCAAACAGATGCCAACATCGGTAAGACAATGATAACATGCTGATGCTGAGCAGGGATCATTTCCATGTTCACCAAACTAGCTTCTTGTAATATTTAGATAACCTGTGGTCACAAACCTAAACTCCAGGTGACCTGCATGTGGTCTACACTCATCAGTGTGCCAATGCAATGCCCCCCATGTTCCAGTGGGCTCCTTCATCTAATTTATTCCTGTCTCATTGCCTCAGTGCTTCCATTCACCCATCTCTGTTCGTAAACTAATGCCATTACTTTTATTAATGCCATTTCTTCACCTTCCTTTAAACCATCCATTCTACCTTCTACTTCCTGGGGACCAGCGAGGAGCCACCAAACCTCAGCCTACAGACAAATAATAGAGCTGTTTATCCACAGGTAAAATTAAGGACAGTTTGTGATGTCTGTCCACACAAGACGTCCAGAAAAGCATCAAGATTGAGTGAGAGCGCGTATGTGTAGGTGTGCCCCCATCATAACCCATTACATTGGAACTAAAGCACATCTTTCATAGGTCTGTCGAGCGAACACTGCATATGCACATATGTGGTCACATAAGTGCAGTGGCTGCTCCATGATAAGTGCACGGGCACATGCACATGCCGAAATTAAAAGGAATGCAAAACGTTGATGGCTAGGGATAATTTCTCAGATGAAAAATAAATGATTTTTCCGAACCAATGATAATTGGTGGGGTAAATCATGATGTAAATCACGTGAATGCTGGTAAATCACGATGCTGGGCCACAGAATCATGATTTACTTGTTCTGGTCACTCTGTACCAACTGGCTGCTCTAACAGTGCAGCAAGTTTACCAAGAACCTGTACCATCAGGTTATTTGTTTTACTTCTGAGACTTGATTTCTAGGCAGAATCAAACCTGATACTAGATTAAACATATAAAATTCATGTCAGCATTTCAATGACGGATAATTGCATCATTTTCAAAATCACTAAACATGCACCAAAACATAAAATGGAATATTTAGCAGTTTCGTTGCCCCAAGTGGAGCCCTTTGCCACAAAAAGTGGCGACGTGGTCGAGCTGAGCCTTTGTCCAACTTTCCAACTGATGCAAAGAGCACTTTTTGTGAGTTAAATTACAGTAATAACAATAATCTAACCTGTTTGTAGAATGTATAACGTCCTTCACCATGAGTCAATGAAATACATTCAGCCATCATGGAACAGCAGGAACAAATTGCTGATGTGCTCCAAAGTCAAACAGTGGCTGTGTATTACACTTTTAAATGATGAAGTCATTAAAGCAGGTGATCTGACCTGACAGATAATTTTATCCAGACATCGCTGCCCTCGGAATATTTTCTGCTACATGCACTTGTGGTCTGACTTTACGCTTTTACGCACACCTCTATGTTGGTGTGGCCCATCGCTGGCTATGAAATATGGAAGTTGGTGGAAGCAGTGGAGATATTTCTGATCACTTCACACACACGCACTGTAAACCACAAGCCTGCCTACTGTATAAACACAGTACAGTTTGTAATCAAGAATCAAACTCGCTAAAGGAAAGTTCCACCTTAAAACACTGATAACCGGTGAAAGCATCATCATGGTGAAAGCAGCAGCAGCTCAATGCTAGAAAGGTTTTCAGTGATCAAAGCCACCAGTCAGACACAACCAAACAACCAGGGGTCCTTTGCATTCATATCAGCTGTGAACAGTATTAATTCGGTTGTTGTAAATGACTGGACTGTTTCAGATTTATACTGATATTCACCAGTTATGTTAGGAAAACAAGTGCCCGTTTCAGCTGCTGAAACAGAGTAAGACAGCACGGTCGGACATGAGACAGATCAGCTGCAACGGAAAAAACTTTCCTTACAGAAATTCCACCTTTCTGACTGATGAGCTACACAAAATATTCCTGGTTTTAGTCGACTCCTACAAAATAAATGTGTAAAGCTAAAAAAACACCAGACAGGCTTAAGCTGGGTTTCACTGAGTAGATTTTTCTTTTTTCATAAATGGAAGCATCTTGTTACGTTTGAAAAGGAAAGCTTCATGTACTGCTAACATGCACACACACACACACACACACACACACACACACACACACTGAGGAAACCCAGGCAGTGCAGGCAGGGTGCAGCGAGAGCTGTGAGGGATGGAAGAGAGCCTTCATGCTCCACTGAAGACCCACTGTTGTAGCATTACAACCCAGTAATCATCACTAATACATCACACAGCCTGTGTGCACGAGTGTGTGTGTGTGTGTGTGTGTGTGTACCTCACTGAACATATCTGGTATCAGTTTGCATATGACATCTTCAGGTGCACTCAGTGTTTCTAGTTTTGTTCACCCCATTTATATCAACGAGGCTAAATGAGACAAACTGTTCAACTTTCACCATTATAGATGATTTACTGACTGGATTAGTCCGACTTAGCTTTAGCTTGGTATACACAATAAACTGTGTCCCGATTCATGTCTGTACTGCATGTTTTTCTTTCATTCTTTCTCCCTCCTTTTATTTTTGAAACTCTGCATACCTTGATGAGCAAAAATATTTGTTTTTATTTTCATACACTGACTCATCTATGTAAGTATTTTTTAATCTTGCTTGTGTGTTCATGTGTGTTATACAGTAAAAGGCTGGAGTGATACTCAGAGCCCTAGAGCAGAACTTGGTTAGGTCCTGAATGCTGATAAAATCAGTAGAGAGAGGCGACCGGCTGTGTATACAAGGACTGAATGTGTCTCTAAACATTTTATACATCAGCCAGTTTGTGTGTGCGAGCGTAGTCGGCTGTGGCCAGTGAAGCGAGGAGTTGGAAAATGAGCCAGAGAGGTGGTTTGATAAAGAGGAGCCACTTCGTTCATACTGTAGCAATAATAATAATAATAGCATCTGGTAACAACAAGGAAGGCCGAGTCCTCACAATGTGATTGTATAAACTGATTTCGGCCTCCGCAATGTGAGTAATACCAGGCGCACGCACGCGCGCACACACACGACGGACCAGTTGGAAAGAGTCAGAGCATCTTTTGGTACTGGCTGCTCTTTTTTAAGGAGGTGTTTCCACATTCATCAGAGCACACTGCACAGGCTCAAGCTATTAGAGCAACACAATGTGTGTGTGTGTGTGTGTGTGTGTGTGTGGGGGGGGGGGGGGTCTGAACTAAAGCTTTAAAGACGTACAATGGAAAAAGCAAAGCAGCGGCTTAATGAGCGCTGTGGAGAGAAAAGGACGCCAGAGGACGGCGTTATGACAGAGAGAGGGAAGGAGAAAGAGATGGAAGCAGGACAGAGTGAACAGTGATGTCTCACTCCAAATAAATTTTCCCACAGTGGTTTTAATTATGCAGATAATTTTGATGTCCCTCTCTGCCTCTTTCCTCTGTTCACCTCCCCCCTTTTCTTGTTCCTCAAGTTTAATACTCTCCTGATTCTCTCTTTTGTGTGTGTGTGTGTGTGTGTGTGTGTGTGTGTGTGTGTGTGAAAGTGAGTGAGCAAGACAGAAAAAGAGAGAGATTTTGTGAGGAGGGAGCAAGGCTGAGCTTGCAAGACAGACAAGGACTTGTGGTGCCTGTGTGTGCACACTCACCCCTTTACAGATAGCGACAGCCTCCTTGGACATAGACTTGGGGTAGGAGACGTGATGCTCCATGATGGACTGAAATAACTCATCCTCATCTTCACCGTCAAATGGAGGCTGGAGAGGTGAGCAGAGGGCAGCACGGGACAAACAGAGGATATATAATGAAACCATTAAAAGCTTTAAAAAGTTTCTGAATCAACATCCTGCAGGGCTCACACATATACAGCACCACCTCCTAATGATCCAGGATTTCAAAGTGTCACATCATCTTTCAACAATTATTAATCCCATAGGAGAAAAACTCATTAATGGGTAAAAGTTCATAGCTAACCTTATACTACACAGTGTCAAATTGTACAAGCTGCAGTCAGGACCGTGTGTTTTTTACACATTTTCTTATGAATACAAATGCTGCTGAGAAGAGCTGGACTCACACATTCACCAGACTTCCAGTACAATTTTCATGTAGACCTTTTTTATAACACTTAGAGAATAAACCCACGTACACACACACACAGACCAACCTGTCCAGCGAGCATCTCATACAGTAACACTCCAAAGGCCCACCAGTCCACAGATTTACCATAAGGTTGGTAGGCTATGATCTGAAATATAAGAGACTTTGTTCAGAAAAGTCGCCATCAACACTTAAAATCACTTAGGCAAGGTAGTGTACAGTATAATAATATAATCCCCAACTGAACTTTGATAAAAAACAAAACTAGACAGCGCTCACAGAGAGTGCAAACCTCCTCCAACACCGCTCACTTTCCCCATAATCCCATTACACTTATAAGCAATGATAAGTTTGTCCCTGATAATAGCAGTTGTGTCAGTTTGATTGAGTCCGTCGTTTTGAACATAAAAATCCTAATTTGTAAAGTAACCAGTACCTCCAGATGTCACAGTATAAAGTCCCATGACATTAAAATACAAGCCTTTAAATTGGTACTTACTGTGTGTACAGTACAGGAGTAAATATACTGTACTCACCTTCCACTTCTGTACACTCTACTGCTTGAAACCCTTTCTATAGCAGCTGTAGGAGTCAACAGAACATGATGTGTGAACACAGGCCAGAGCACCAACTATACCTCAGGGGCTATGTAGTCCGGTGTTCCACAGAAGGTCTTGGTAGTGATGCCATCGAGCATGTTTTCTTTACACATGCCAAAGTCTGCTATCTTGATGTGGCCCTCACAGTCCAGCATCACATTGTCCAGCTTCAGGTCTCTACAGGGGAACGACACAACACAGACCGACAAGACCGTTTTGCTCTGTTGGCTCAACTGGAGTTCTTCACTTTTATGTAGAAATTTCTGATTTAATATTTACAAGTGTTCTCTACCCATGATTTGCTAAAAATGTTAAGCTACAAATTGAAAATACAACAGTACAGTACTTCAGTAATTAACACATTTGTCACAAATTGCCTCTTTCGAACTCAGAATAGAAATGTGCTACTTATGTTTGAGCCTTGCAGTAATTCTACACATATTATCAGTATATTACACCATTAATAAACTGAGGGTTCTCCACAATAAATGTGGCCGTCCTTTCATATTGTATTATAAACGTGTGTCATATTGCCGAGCCTATGCAACAATATGTCACCGTCTGTAGATTACATGAATATAGACACGTTGGTGTGTTAATAACTTTAACAGAATATTACATTTGTGTTATGGTTTTCATACTTTCAGAGTTAGACTGCGACTGAGCAGCACATGGTTTAGTGCTACTGCTGTATATATATTGAGTATACTGTGGGGTGGAGGTTACCTGTAGATGATGCCTTTTAGATGTAGGAAGAACAGACCGATGGCGATCTCTGCAGCATAAAATCTACACACAAACACACACACACACAAAGAGAACCGGTAATTAGAGAGAGGCTGAGGGAAAGGACAGGGTGGAAACAAATAATTTGTGTGTGCATGTGCGTGTGTCAGCTGAAAGGTCAGTGCTGTCTTTTCAAGGCCAGAGAGCATCTGATAAGACCAACAGGAGGAGTCTGGACACACTGACCACACAGTCAATTATGTTGTGTGCTTGTGTGGGCGTGCACAATGTCTGTTAGTAAAGTGCACGTTAAAGACGTCAAGCATCATTTGAAGGTTTTGGAGAACAATACGCAGATTCTATTGGATATTTTATCTGTGATCTGAATGTTGATAAGGAAGAAGCCAACACAGCTTTAGATGCAAATCATACATATACTGGTGAACTAAGTACAGACGACAGAATATCCTGAGTATCGTCTGAAAAATAAATTAAAACAAAGTAGAAAAAGTCGGTGGCCTTAGATAAAAGAGTCCCTCATCCTGTTTGACTTGCCCTTCAGCACTCTAAACCTTCTGCCTGAGGGAAGAAACTCATTCCACATAAGGCAGGTGAAGGGCAGATTTTTCCACGGCTCTCGCTTTCCCGACAGCCTGCTTGTCAAATATGTCAGCCCGTCAGTTCGCCTTGACATCAGCGATCCCACCAGCCACCTTAATTCTATTCTGCAGCTCTGGAGGTATTCCACACACTGAAAACTCTCAGGAGTTTCTGGATTACTCTCCTGTCTTTGAAGTTCCTCGGAGCAGCAACGTGCATCAGGGCGAAGAACATCTTTCATCCCAGGCTCTGCTCATCCATCACCCGAGCCAGACAAACACCGCTGATGGCTTATTCAGTGTGGTTAAAAAAGTGTTACTAAACTGTGAAACACCTATAAGTAGGGGATTGAGATTTTGCGTTATGATGGCATGAAAGAGTGGTTGGTGTGTGTGTGTGTGTGTGTGTGTGTGTACTCACACAGCATGGGGCTCTTTGAACCTGCCAGCCTGCTGAATCTGATACATGAGATCTCCGCCGTTTATGTACTCCATGACAAAATACAAACGGTCCTACAGTATGGAGGGATAAAAGGCCAGAGAGAGCAAGGTCAAAAAGTTCATTAAAGCTGGTGAGAGGTCAAGAGAACGCAACGATAGTGAGAGTAAAAGTAAAAGAAAGACACTGCAGAGAGAGAGGGATTGTTCAGAGGTAACTTGGAGAGGGACGAATCAAATGAGAGGAAAAATGACATAGGAAGGAAAAAACAGAGGAAGAGAAAGTGAGGCAGAAGTGACTGCATTGTCATCTGACCGTTCAATCAGTCTTCAGCTGAGGGAACACAGCCACATCAATTTAAGAGCCAATCCTTGTCCATTATCTACAGAAATTGCCACAGTAAGAGAGTGTGCAGGAATTTGGTTCGTGGCCATGTGTGTTCGTTTGGAAGAAATACTGTGAAGCTGTGAAGTGTGTCAGGGCTTTTAATGTGCATCACTGTGTGTGTGCGTAGCTTTAATGCACTCTCTGAGTCTTAGGAGCATTTGCTTATGTGCAGTGCATGTAAATGTTTTTGTATGTGAACTACATGTACACAAAATACAAGTGTCTATACTTTAATATTATAGCTGTGTGTGTGTGTGGGGGGGGTCATCAGGTCAGCTTTATTTGCCCACCACCGCAACCTCAAGTGGATTCCCAACATATTATGCTCATTAATCAGTGGACAAATGTACAAATGAGTGGGTTTCTGTAGCGTGTGAATGCAAATGGCTTGCACTCAGTGTTAAGTATGACCCAGTGAGCTAGCCTCTCTGTTGACTCATCTTTAGTGTAATACGGACTGTACATCAGGAGATGAGCATGAATCGAATATTCCCGCTGTGATCTGGTCAACACAGGCAGAGTGGCCGCTGTTAACAGCACAGCACTCAGGAGCAGTGCCGCTGTGTCCTCTGGCAGGACACCGTCTGATCAAAGATGGTGTGAATGTGTGGGGGCTACGAAAGGGAAGGGCGTCTATTCAGCTTGCAATGATTGCAGAAAGACAAAATACAGTTTCCCAGACAAGTAAAAATTACTGTACGTTGTATAAAACAGGGCTGCTGTTTTTCAAAGAACATAGAATATTTTGTAGAATATTCCTGGCCCACCTACCATAGTCTGGAAAGTGGAGTGCAGCTGTGTTAAGAACGGTGGCTTTCCAGACAAAGCTAACACTCTCTTCTCCACCATGGTGCACTCTACGTCATCATCCTGGATCACAACGTCCTTCTTCAAGATCTTTATAGCATATAGCTCCTCTGTCCCTTTACGCTCTGCCAGCATCACCTACAGAAACAAAGACAGGGAGAAGACAGGTGGAAAAGACGAGTAAGGTAAATTCATCATTATTCAAAAACCTGATACAAGCACCTCACTGTAAAGGGCAGGGATTCAGGAGTGCAGTGATAAAGAAACGCTTTCCTGACATTTGGTCAGAGTCCAGGCAGCAACAGAGCGAGTAAGGACAAGATGGGAAAAAGATTCATCACTTGTGAAGAGAAGGAAGCTAGGAAAGAAAAATACAGACAGGATAGAGGGAACACAGGTGATTAAAGGCTCCTTTACAGATTGACACGCCTCTTTATTGGAAATCAGGTTGTGATTGGATGATTCACATGAAGGATCAAAGGAAAAGACATCTCATGTCAGTTAAAACATGTTTCCTCGGTTCTTCTCTCCTCACAGTTTCTCCTTGCATCTTTTCCTTGTGTCCTATGTGGGCGGGACTAAGACACACAAGTGAGGGAGACGTCCAATCAGTGAGTGGAACTGCGATTCACCATGTATGTCTGCAAACAGCAGTGTGCAGTAGAGCGTCCATGAACAATGAGCAGAACCACTATCCACTATCAAACTTATGGTTAGATGTTGCTGCAAATAAGTGTAAACTTAATAATGAAAAAATATCACAGTCATTATTCTCACAACACCCATCAAGAGTAGAGCAGAAAGCGTGACCTTATGTCCACTTTATAATTGTTTTCCCCATAAGATCAGAAACTTTGCACCTTTGCTTTGTGTCTTATAAATATTCAAATATGCTAATACAGAGGTGGTATTAGGTTCAGAATTCTACAGAGAGAACAGCAGAGATGGAAAAAGACAGAGCGAGCTGTGTGTGTGGGCATAAATGTGTGTTTGCATAAAGGGCAGCTGCAGTTCAAGAATGTGTGGTGTAATATTGAGCCTTAAAGTTTTGATATGTATTAAAGTTGGGAGTATGCTGGTGGTCTCATTAGACAAACGCAGCAGGCACAAGTTCAGCACAGAGTGTATGTGTGTGTAAATGCATGGACTCATCCCATATGGTGTAAGTGTGACTCTATGCAAGTACAAACTCTATAAAGTTAAAACAGAGAGGAAGGACACCATCTGGCCTGAAGCTCATTTTATGCAACCGTGAGAACAAAGACAAGACCAACATGAGAGAGAGAGAGAGAGAGAGAGAGAGAGAGAGAGAGAGAAACATAAAACCAGTGGATTTCATCAGCAAATCCCTCTGCAGACTATGGATGCACAGGACACAAGGCAGGAAAAACAGCTTTTTGGAAACATTACACACATGGTGACAAATTTAAGAAGACAAGCATATGTTGCTCCTTTATTACACCCTTAACTTTTTTTGTAATCCTAGGCGGTTAACTTCAGACTTACACTTCATGATCTCATCGAGGTTCAGTGTAGCATGAACTGGCAACTCTACTACAGTGTGAATTGCGGCGTGTGCTGCTGCTGCTGCTGCTGCTGCTGCTGGAACACCTTTTTATCCAAGAAAGTTGTTCAGGGTCATTTGACAAGAAAGCAGTCCAGAGGATATTAACTGTCATATGTTGTAAATGATGCCACTGTTTTCTCTGCTGACCTTGCAAAGTGAATTTGCCCGTGGAAAATAAATGAAACCACCCTCTGTCGCATTGTGTTGTATTAGTCTAAATTGTCATATATCATATAGTCTGTGTAGCCATTACCTCCACAGAAGCAGTTTCCTGTTTGGTCCCACAAAGACTGTCACTTCTTTACACTGATACTAAGGTGACCAAAACATTTAAGGCATATCATTAGAGCATAAAGAAAGCAGACAACAGCGAGATGTATCATGTTGACCAAAGTGCTTTACAAAATTAAACATGACAGAATAATCTAACAAACCAAGACAGTCAAACCGAGTCAAACGCCTTAGCATAGTAAAATGTTTAAGTCGAGATGGAGCCGATCTAATATGTAAAGGCAGTTTTGGAGCTGCAATTGCAACAGCATGGTCACCTCAACTTTTAAGTTCAGTAAAAAGGGCCAGCCAGAAGGAAGCGATCAGTCGATCTGAAGGGTCTGGGAGGACTGCAGGGTTTTAAAGGGTCAGAAAGCTACGGCAGAGCTAATCCAAGAATCTTTGAAACCAAGAATGCTTTGAAAGCCATCAACAAGATTTTATCTGGATTCTGACATGAACAGGTAACCAGTGGAGGAACGCCAACACAGGGGTAATATGTCCTCTTTCACGAGTACCAGTAAAACACGAGCAGCGGTATTCTGGACAAGCTGGAGGCAGTTTAATGAAAGCAAATTAGATTAGGTCAACAGCAAATCTGATGGTTTAAAAATGGGTATAATTTCATCTTTCAACCTCTTATTCTGCCATATAACAAACTGCAAAGGCTGCAGTGTCTTTTCTGGCTGTTGCACCTTTAAACGCTTGGTCTGTATGTGCACGTATTGTTTTCAGAAAATTGCTCTGGTTGAGTTGGTCCCAATGGGAAAGCAAGACCAGCAAAGCATAAACTGCAACCATGAAGTCATGTGAACTGACAGGTTGGACAGTTTTGTTGATGTCATCCTGCATCAACGGCGCCACATGGACTCGCATCAAATTCAGGTGACT